TAGGGTTGACATTAAAATATTAGAGGTTTTGCTAAAACAAGAAGAGAACATCCAAAGGTTCCCATTTCTTGTCAATTATACAAAGGGCAGTCCTTTTCTAGATCAACTGCCCCACTCTCTCTCTCTCTCTCTGATTCCTCCTTCATTACTGTAAGATCTCTCTCCTCCATTCCCCCTTTGAATTACATCTCTCTTTCACACACGCACGTCGTTCGGTTCATAACAATTGATTTGACAAAGTTTATGTATGTATCTCTTTCTTGATTGAAAAGTTTGTTGAATTGGAGATCTGGATTTTGGCTTTTTGGATCTGGGAATTTGATAAAGTTTTCATCTTTCTTTAATTTCTTGTATTTTTATTCTATTGATTTGATCTCCGTGTGCTTGCTTTCTTCAGCTGGGTTCTTCTTCTTCTTTTTGGATCTTGATTTGGGTTCTTCTTCTTTTTGATAAATGGATCCGGATTGTCATTGCCCAAGATCCGATTTAAGTAGAGGGGTTCTTGATTCTTTTGATTGTTAAACTTGTTGGTACTAGATCTCTGATGAATAAAGGATTATTGAAATTTATGATGAAATCTTTTTTGATAAAGATCCAATAGTTGCTCTTTTGATTCATCAAATATATGGAAAATAAAGGCTGAGATCAGTATGTTTAGAGGAGTACCACGCCATAATTTGGATTTATGTTGGCTTAAAGATCACAATTTTGTCCTCATTATCTAATGATTGTGCATATATGTAACCTCTTGATGCAATAAAATATGCTGTCTTAAGCTTGATAGGTGAATGTGTGTGTTAATTGAATCTTAATTTTGGTCCAACAGGCATTGAAAAAAGATGGGTTTATCATTCGGGAAGCTTTTCAGTCGGCTGTTTGCCAAGAAGGAGATGCGTATTCTGATGGTGGGTCTTGATGCAGCTGGTAAAACCACCATATTGTACAAGCTCAAGCTGGGAGAGATTGTTACCACTATTCCTACCATTGGTAATTTATGTTGTGTGTACTATAGATGTTTTATTGCTTGCAGAACTTTATGATCGGAACACTGTCGTTTTGTTTTTGTTATGAGTAGTTTCTGCTGCTAATCGAGTTTCTGCCTAAACATCTCTATATTAAACCCACAATTTAAGCTACACCCTTAAGTATCCTGAAGTATCCATGTGAATACAAAACATCCTTTGAAGTTCGCAAGTGAGCAGGCTTCATCACTTCATTACACACTTTTGATAAGAATAATGGAACAGTCATGTGCCATCCCCAAAACATCCATTGCCCGATCATAGTATTTCAGAGTTTCTTTGCAATAACCTCCAATGGAAGTACTATATAGTAGTAGATCTTGTTGAACACATTGGTTTAACCACCAATTAAATTCCAAACTAGACAAGTCAATAATCAAAACTATCTTCTTGTCAGCAAAATTTATTACTTTAAACAGAAGATATCAACTATGACCCCACAAAAAACACAAATCTAACTGATTCTTCAGCAATATTCTTGCGAGCGCTCCTTCTTTCTGCAGACTGACTTAATCTCTCTAGAACCTAGTGGCAAGTTTACTGCAGGGACTAACCTTCTATTACCAGTTGTAAAATCGTAAAGAGAGCTTAACTTCAAACAGCGACATAGAAAACACTTGGTCATAAGGTTAAAGGGTCCCATTTCCTTCATTGGTCATTTTCTTCAACAAACTATATATTTAAGAGACATCCCGAATATTTGATGATAATTCAGAGCATGCCAAACTTCCATCTTCAGCATGTAGTAAGATATAAGGAACCCTTCAAGATATCTGATGTTCTGTTTCAATATATATTTAATATTCTAGATCCAATTACTGCTGCAAACAGCTATGCACCACAATTATGTCCTCTGTTTCTAGAAGCATGGTTGTTCTGCCGACACGTTTGTCTTATTTGTACTGATTCAAGCTATTTCTCTTAATGTTATCTGCAATAACTCTTTCTTTATCAGGATTCAATGTGGAGACTGTTGAATACAAGAACATAAGCTTCACTGTCTGGGATGTCGGGGGTCAGGACAAGGTACTTAGTGCCTTAAACCAAAGTGCTATGCTCTTTTCAGTATCTGACATTAGAAGATGATTGCAAGTTCTTCTACTTTGAGTTTGGCTGACTTCACACTGACCTTACTTCAACTTGCAAGTTATAGAAAGAGCATTTCTGGTTTTGGAATTATATTTTATTTATCTTACTAGTATTTCAGATTCATCATGCTCATTTTTCTGATTTTTCACTAAATGTTCATACTCACCAGAATAGCAGAATTATAAAACCAAGATATGATATTTTGTTCTGTATCATTGAATTCTAGTGTGCTCTGCTGCTATCAAGTACATACTTATCTAAAATCTGCAGACATGCAATTACTTCTATGGCATGACTTCTTTCGGATATTGACATACTTTATGTTGTCTGTTGTTCCTTGTCAATATTTTTGCACTTCCAGATCAGACCATTGTGGAGGCATTACTTCCAAAACACACAAGGACTTATCTTTGTGGTTGATAGTAATGATCGTGATCGTGTTGTTGAGGCTAGAGATGAGCTGCATCGCATGTTGAATGAGGTATGCAACACACACCCTTGTTAAGATTATATTGTGTCTTGGGGAGGCCCATGTCTGGTGATGCATACACAAGATACATCCGGAAATGGTCCCGTGGAGCTCTTGAAAGTCTGAAATGATCTGTGTTTACCAACTTTCTGTTCTTAGTTAGCATCTTGGGGTTGGTTCCTTTCACTCATACCTTATTTTGAATGAATTTTGCAATGTATGCATAGGATGAACTGAGGGATGCTGTGCTGCTTGTGTTTGCTAACAAGCAAGATCTTCCAAATGCTATGAATGCTGCTGAGATTACCGACAAGCTTGGTTTGCACTCCCTCCGTCAACGCCACTGGTATGTACTATTTGGTGTTCCCTTATTTGTAAGATAATCAAGTATATGTGCTAATTGAGCATGGTGCTGGAGATTGATATGGCTTGTATGTGCTACCAAATGCTGAATCTATGACTTTCTATAACAGGTACATTCAGAGCACATGTGCTACCTCTGGAGAAGGGTTGTATGAGGGGCTTGACTGGCTCTCAAACAACATTGCAAACAAGGTATGGAGCGCCTTATCAGATTAAATTTTATTTCACTTAAATTTGCTCTAATTTTCCAATGACCTTGTTTTTGCAGAGTTGAACATGAGATCCATGATTTTTGCAGCTATATTTTTGTCAATATAGACTTCAACAATGTCTAGAGCACTTGTGCACCTGCTGATCTTTCTTATGCGAGATAGATCCACTTATCACTATATTTTTTTCAGTACATTTTCCTTTCTTTAAAAGAATGTTACTTTACCGTAACTTTAGTTGAATTCATGTAATATTTTACATTCTGGGTTTACATATTCTCAATTACTCCGCTTTCAGCATTTTGTTTAAATTAAGACTTGAGGTTCTCTCCCAGTGCTGCTTTTCTATACTGCTGGTGAGCAGATCTTTACTATCTCAACTAAACAAAATTCAGTTGGAACTATTTTGTTTGGTTGAGAAGTTTAGGCCTTGCAAAGTCTAACTCTATGACAGATGAAGTTCAATAATTTTTAGCTTTCAGAGCAGACTTGTGATAATTTTACTCTGATATGACTTAAACAAACCATAAACTGACAGCCAGTTATTACTAGTGTCTGATCTACTTGTCAACCTGAACTAGTTCGATACTGAGTAAATGTATGACTTGTATTATTGACGCAATTTTAGCCTTAATTTTGTTCCAATTTAGAACCTTCAATACATGACATTACTTATGCACTTGAAGGTGTACGTTACAACTAGTGTCGGCAAAATGAGCCCATATTTTAATGGGTTGGGTGAGTGATTTTTTACATGGGTAAAGTATGGATTTGTCAAATGGGTTAAGCTTCTAATTTTATTCACTATAAATTCATGATATCACTAAAAATATTGTAATTTCTCTTGCCTTTTATGTTCTTCTATAGAACTAATTATTTTTCACTATAATTGAAAAGGTGAAGTCTTTGGCCCTCTAAAAATATATATTTTAAATGTACATTTCTTTTTTACTTATAATTATATTTTTTTTATTTGTTTAATTTCATATTTGATAATAAATATATAGTGTAAAATAAGCAAATCATGTATTAGTATTGACATTGCTTAAAGTGCATTAAGCATGTTTTAGTCCTAAAATGCAAATATTCATTTACTTTGAAATTAAAAATATTTTCCCCTTGTTATTACATAATTTTATTTTATATTGAAAAGTTATAGGATCTTTTTTTTTTACTTTTATGATACAATAAAACTAAATGAAGCATTTTCAACATTTTTCATCTAAAAAAGATAAAAATATTTTCTCCATGTTGAATTCTCAAGTAGAGTACTATTTACTCATGAAAATATGGATAAATATGGGTAAACTAGTATTTTACCCATATCAGATATGGGTGGGTTGAATTATTACCCATTCTATGTTGACCGATTTTCAACCCGTCGATATTTTACCTAACCCGCCCATTTACCACCACTAGTTACAACTTACACATCAAATCATCCGATGCAGCCCAATTTTTTTGTTGTTGTACTCTTCTTGTATATATGTTGGCCATCAAAGACCTAATATTTACCCTCATATATCATATAATAGCTTGTTTCACACCCATTTATAAAGTTTGTCTTCCACTTTGGTAGGATTCTTGCAATGGCACAACACCTTCCTAAACACTTCCAATTGCTATTTAGACTCTACAATCTAATCTAATCTAATCTAATCTCCCGCTTACTTCATTACTTTTATATGAGTTGTGCAATCTATGTATATATATATATATATATTCTGTCTTAAATTATACTTATTATCCTCAATACCCATTCTTCATTCTTCTCCATAATTCAAACTTTTGGTTGACTTGCTCAGGAATTTCGTAATTAACAACAGGTGTTCTATAAAAGCATGAAACTTCAATCACAACTTGGAAAAACATTTGGGCTCGCAATGTGTTTACAACAATTTAACCTATTCAATTTGTAAGATTACACCAACAAGAACATATAGAGAATAGGAGATACGTATACAAACCAAATGAACAGAGATAATTCTATTCTACAAATTTAAAATTTTATTAGTCCTAGTTTCATGGTCATCTGACCAGAAAGAATGAAATGGTAAAGTACGTTGACACCAGTTCCAAAGAAGTGTGCATCAGTTCTCTTTATCTTAGAACACGGTTTGAGCTTAAGAAAAAATTTTCTTCGCCAGCAATAGTAGAATGTAGTGTTCCACCAGCCCAACCATTGTTTAATGGACGACCAGCAGCACGACCTGGATCTCCCCCTACCACTCGAGTGCCTTCAACTTGTTTTTCATATTCCGGAAGGCCCTTTGCCTTCCTCTCTTTCCTTCGTTTCCTCTCCTCGTCTCTTTCTTTCCTCAGCCATCTCTCTACTGTCCTCTGTATATCCAGGTAGAACGACCATGCAAAGTCGAAATGAGAAAAATTGCCACAGTATATATCATATGATTCAGTCATAATTTCCAGGTATTAGATGAAATCAGATCATCTATCGATGTGGACCTCTAGCTAAGAGTATGAGAGGAAACATGTTTGAATTTCAAAGAAAACCTGAATGAGGTTCTATTTTGGATTTTACATTTTCTAAATACACCAGAAACTTACCATTAGTGATAAATTGCTGATCTGCTTCACCTTGTCCATTGGCATTGCTAATTGCAGCTTCCCATGAGCCACATATATCTGCAAATAAAACAATTATTCTAACCATCACTTTGTTAATTTTTAAGAAGCTAACGCTTAACTTTTCGAGGAATCCTTCAAAGGAACAAATGCAAACTTGAAAAGGAATGTAAGTATGATGATATTGGGTTATGCACGTTCTGATTTTCAATTTCTCAAAATACTTCAATTGGGTTGTCTCAGACCTTCTAATAGGTATTTATCTCAAGATCCAAAGATAAAGCAAGAGGTAAGTAAGAATCAGCTCTTACTAAATGAGAAGGCCAGTTCTCAAGACCATCAAAAATGTGTGTTGCATAAATTATTGTAGCGCCTCGCTCTTCACATTCTTTGATCAGAAATTTCAAAAGATCAGCCCTTGCAAGAACATCCAGATCAACTGTTATCTCATCGAGAAGTAGTACCTAGACAAGCAGGGTTCTATCTTGTGTCAACATTGTCTTCAAGTAATTTGTAACAGTTAAAAGGTAATGCTTTTCACTTGGTGAAAGTATTTACAGATATACCTTGAATGGTTTCAGAAGACCCATACATATCTGCACTCTTCTTCTTTGCCCATCAGATGATCTGTGCATTCTCCAGGACAAATCAATACCAAGAACCTTCACAAGCATAAGATTAAGAATTTTAACATATGCTGATTGAGTTGTTTGCATATTAGATGAGTTCACCACGATCAGCTTTTATCGAAGATAAATTACTGTAAAAGGTAACATCCACCCGAAAAAGTTAAGAGGGCTAAACTTCCTTCCTTAGTTTGTCATGCATGTTTGTGTGTATTTATTTATTCCCATTAGCAATTTTTATCATGGTACAAAGTTGGAGCACTCCTACTTGTCATGAGAGACAGAATTCTGATTAAGCCTGGAAAATTAGTAAGAAGAGAAAGAGAGAGTTTTTCCAGGCTTTAGCATATGGTCTATACCTTTCAGTTTACCTTAAAACACTAGCAGAATATACGATACAATCTTTTTGAGTTTCCCATGGGACTTTGTTGAATTTCACGCAGATAACAATTGCTCATTTTTATCTGTACCTTAATTAGTTCATCTCGTCTTTGTGGATCAGTTCCTGGAACCCCAAAAATCATTTTCTCAGCAGAAACATCCATTTGGATAGGCACCTCAAATCCAGCAAATGCAACTTCTCTCCTCCACTGCAAAACAGAAAGCACAACAGAACTTAGTTTTCTACTTTGATAATCAATTTCCGAATTCACAAGTTCATTTAAAAGATGTGGCATGTTTGTCATTTCAGGAAACAGGTTTAATCAAGCGTAAACAAGATGTTAGCACTGTTATAGCATATTACTTCTATAACTAAAATCTTCTTGAAAAGTACCATATTACATGTAGAAACTTGCAATGAATAAATGAGAGAAACCATGTTAGAGAGATTGAATTTTAAAGCTGATTCCAAATAGAACTCCAACTAAGCAAGAACGTAACCTTAGTTAAACATAACAGAAGAGCACTTAGTTCTGCTGGAATTTATTCAATTGTTACATAAGACGACAATGCCAAGTTCCAATACATGCAATTAACAAACTAAAGAAGCGAACAGTCCTCAAAGTATAATAAACCATGAAAAGATAGTGAAGGAGCAAAGCAAGAGAAGAGATACCTCTCCACCAAGATAACTGAGGTCTCCGGAAGCCGTTAAAGCAGTGTCATGAAATGCAGATCTTCCAAGCACTCTGACCATGTCTGGTTCTACCATATGCTTTCCTCCCAATATCTTCAGAATTGTAGTCTTCCCTATCAAAAGAACATGTCTCTCAGATCTCAATCAAACCTCCTATTAAGGGGTACCTTTGGTAGGGCAAAGCAAAAAATGTTTATACGGTGTTTGGTTAACTATGTTTTCTACAATTTTCCAGCAAGATGACATCCTCTCCCTTATGAAGGCAAGTCATTTTTCTGTAGAATTATGACAACTCTAACTCCATATGCTCACTACAATAGACATCCAAACATTGTTGTCAACCTTTAATACTAAAAAAGAATATGCGAAAACACTATCCTTATACCTTATCTTGTACATTATACAATTACCCTGGGTTAGCATCTTATCAAATGGTGGAAACATCATTAAAAAAAAGACAATTTCATCAACACCAAAGCCAAAAGGCACCCTAAAAATTCGGAATTGGAGATAGCAGGAACGAGGAACAAGTTTAAAGCAACCCCTTTTGAATTCTTGATTATACTAAAGAGAGTAATTCAAAATTTCAATGTGCGGAATAGAAATAGAATTAGAACCTGCGCCATTAGATCCGACAAGAAGGCATCGATCACCAGGATAAAGGGTAAGGTTGAAATCATCTATCAAAGGGATAGATCCAGGAGGCGGATGTCCATCAATACCAGGGTAGGTGAATTTGAGATTGTTGATCTCTACTGATGGCTTTTTGTCTTCCTTTACCGCCATAACCTTTCAAGTGTTCGATGAAATGCGGTAGAGAAGTAGTGTACAAATTCAGCTTGTTAGAACAGGTTAATATAGTAGTAATTAATTATGCAAGGATTCAGCCATGGCCACGTTCTTTGCTTATTTCCCACGTATATATACTTTCCCTTCCAACTACCATACTCGCAACTCGCCGACGGGCGACACAAATTCAATGGTCTTCATTTAATTGCACCGTTGGAAACTTTTATTTTATTTTAATGTTGATTATAGATTTATACTATTTTATCTAATTTTTAGGTATATAAATTTTTATTTTGAAAATTTTCATCTAAAAAGGAACAGACTGATTCTCCATATAGGATTTTATAGATTTATAGTGTCAGATTATGGGTTCAATTTTTTTATGTTGATTCAAAATTTATAATATATATACATTAAGAAATTCATCACATATTTATGAAAAATTGATGATAAAATTTAGTCATTCATTGTTGATTTGAAATAATTATAGAAATTCATAACTTTTAAATCATAAATTCACTCCTTTTTTCTGAAATTGTTCTTTCATTGTGTATAATTCAAATCGAAATGAGTATAATGAGAGATGGAGGGTTAGTATCCCACTCCATTCAATCAGACATAGAAACAAATGTTTTAGCTAGACAATGAGCAATTTGATTCGTTGATTTCTTAACAACCGGACAAAGAAAGAAAAGGTAATTATAACTCTTTGATAAGAGTTTTACGAAAAACTGAAGAATTAAAATAAGAGTAATTCACCAAATTTTCTTTCAGAGCTTGCTTCACAAGTAGCTTATCACTACCAATCTCATTCTACTGAACCGTTTCTTTAGCCAATTAAGAGTTTCACACACCCTGTGATCTCGCCTGACAACGGGCTAGCCACACGACCAAGAAATAAAGCTCTCCTAGTAATAAATTGACCAAGTGATCACGTGGCATCAAATCTATCCCCGCCAAACCGCTATTGATATCGTAAAAAGGTATCACTGTTACATTTAATTGTATTAAGCAGAGGTCACTCCCATTTAGTAATCATTTTTGCAACAACAACAATTATCTCGATTCCTGAATTGACACTTCTCCATTCCTCCAGTTCTTTCTTCACACGATACAAAGTGATAGCAGACACATTTTATTTATTATTCCAACATAAATTATTTCTGACTTCCCACAAGCTCCATAAAATCAGGATTGCTTCCTTTATTCTTATTTTTGCATTGCTCTTTGAAGTTATACCAAAATAATATATGTGAGAAAATAACAATGTAATCGAATAAATCTAATTTTCTTCTTCTAAAGGTGAAAATGATCTCTTATAATCGCTTACAAATTGAAAAAAGTTTAATATTTATTTCAAATTTCTTAGGTATAAAAATTAAATCTCTTATGATTAAAAACAAATTATAAAAAATGACAAAACCAAACCTTTTATCAACTCTTATTTCTTAGTTTTTTGAATATATCTAATAGAAGGATGAAAATTGTTCATTTTTAAATATTTGAAGAATATTTTTTGCTAAAAATGATATTTTAAGGATATAATTTAAGTCTGAGATATAGTTTAAGGATGATTTTGGTCAATAACTCGTCCCAATTACTAACCAAATAAGAGAAACATTGTCCAGTAAAAATAAAATAAAATAAGAGAAACATTCGATTTCTAAGAATTCTCGTTTTGATTTAATTAATTTGTTGCCTTTAACATGTCATAAAGCGGGGATAGCTCAGTTGGGAGAGCGTCAGACTGAAGATCTGAAGGTCACGTGTTCGATCCACGTTCACCGCATTACTTTTTTATACATTAATAAATAACTTTTTCTTATTTATTTTTATTAATATCCTTTTCCCAACTCTTTTCTACAAAATTGTTTTTATACATTAATAAATAACTTTTTCTTATTTATTTTTTATTAATAATATCCTTTTCCCAAACTCTTTTCTACAAAATTGTTTTGCTCTCTCTTCGTTTTTTTCCCTTCTTCTTCCCAACAGACTACCCGATTTTGCATCTGAATTCAGGTATACTCTCCCTTATTTTTACTCGTCTCATCTCTCCCAGTCTAACTAGGGTTTAAATCTTTTCACCCCATCTTGTGTTCTTAATCTAACTTAGATCAACTCTCTAAAATCAGAGATCAGTAACAATTCTTTCCTGTTTTATTTTTATTTTTATGTGTATATGTTCTTTCTTGCCTTTTAAGGAGTCTTGTAACAAACCAACTAACTTGGGTTAGAGGCATAGTAGGTAGTTGTTGTCATTGTTGGGTTTTTTTCTTTTGTGTTATTTGTATCCAGGAAAAAATGAGTGTAATCTTCTCTGGTTTTTTTTCTTCTTTTGAGAAGTGCCCCACTTATGGGTTTTCACTGGGTTTGTTGTAGTTCTTTTGGGAAATTGGTATACAGTGCAATACTTTGTATGTTTTTCAGAAAATTGAATTCATTCAGATCAAGAAAATTTTGGTGTTTTGTTTGGTGGCCATGTGTGGGATAACTTATCTCACCATTTATACCATAGTGATAATCCTGAGATAACTTGTTCCCAACCAAACGATCCCTAATAGTACTATTATTTTTTAATTATTGAATTTTGGTTATGTACCTTTATCACAACCCATTTTATCTAAGTCGTGATGACATCTATACCCTAATCCAGTAGGCGAACCAATTCATATATTGAAAGACAAGAGATTTAAGCATTTGAAACCATTTGGTAATCATAACATAAGTCTCATAAGTTAACAGTGCAGAAAGAAGTACATAACACCTCCAAGACTAGTTCAAGTTCTTTGAATACTTGTTCGCAATTTCTGTTTTCAGTTCATACAAGTTCATGCCAAAACTTTCTTAAATGATCTTGTAATGCTCCATTATTACAGAATAGCAGAAAACATACATTTTTTTGTCTCATGGAGTACCTTATTTTATCAAGTGTGGTTCTTCAATATGATTTTGACATTTTGTAACACACTCTGCTTCATATGTCTAAGAAATTATATTACCTCAAAGAAAGGGTGCAATTCTGCAACATGTATGTAAAAGGATTCTAGCAATATCACAAGTTCAAAGCATATAGGTTAAAAATTTGACCATGTGCATTCCTAAGAAGTTGTAGAGGACAAGTATCAAAACTGTTTCGTAAAAACCCTTTCGAAGGACATAGGAATCTATGAACAAAGTCTTTTGTGATAAAACAGTCTAATAAAGCACATATGGATAAAACCCTGTATTCTGGATAGTTATATGTCAAGAGAGGGATACAAAGCAATCATCTCACTTAAAAGTTCCAGATAAGTGACAGGTTAACTTACATGAATATGACAAGTAACCAAAATCCTTGAAAATTCTGGTGAAAACAAGTCTATCTTGTGATATGCGTGATGAAAGATTCCAACTCTATTTGAGAAGCACCCCCTTTCTCTGTGGAGCGCCGTAAGGCTTCTCCCATTTCTTTTGCTCTTCTCCTAATTACATCACCTTCTTCTGATGCCATCAATTTCCTCACAACGTTCTCAATAGTGGATGCACTTACTAGCTCCTCGCGTTTCTCTCACTCCCTCACAATCAGGCCTATTTTAAACATTTCCGTCAGAAACCATTTCTCGGTTGGTCAGAGTGCATAGGCCAAGCAGCTATAGGCTCTCCCATAGTAATACTCTTTATACAAGAATTCCATCCACAATGACTCATGAATCGCCTGTGGACGTACGAGCCAAGATTTCTGGTTGTGGTGCCCATTCTCTTACCACTAAGCCTACATCTTTTAATCTCTCCTCAAACCCTTCTGGAAGCTCTACTCTTCTATCTTCCCCAGTAAAGTTATCTCCTCTATTGACATCTCTCAACACCCATATGAACTTCTGTTTGCTTAGTTCTAATCCCATTGCGAGCTCCTTGATTTCTCTATCGGAAAATGATGTTGTTGTTCCAAAAGATATATAAAGTACTGAGCTTGGAGGTTGTTTGTTAAGCCACTCCAAACATATATCGTTCCTATTTGAGATATGATCGAGTTTTGTAGGCAGAATAGATCCAACTGCCCATTGTTTCTTGTTCAGATTAAGTTCTGCTTGTGCCAGCAAATCAAGATTCTTGCCTTCAATTACTCTGCTTGTATTATAAAGATCACCTGATCGAATATCTAGATACCGATGCTGAGAAGCTGATAAGTCCCTGACTACATCTAACGTAATTTCGTCAAGGGAGGGTAGCTTTTTAAGCAATTCTTCTTCATGTTGGTCAAACATCCCAAAAAATAACTAAAACTGTAAATTGAATCATTCAGATCAAGAAAGAGAAGGATTCAATATAAATGGCAGCTATTTACAGCCTTTACGTCATCAATAAATCAGGAGGGCTTATCTTCTGCAAGGTGAATTCAAATTTCAACACTTTTCAGCTTAGGTCGTTTTATTTTGTTCTTATTTGTGGTTTTAATGGGTGTGTAAGATTCCTTAGGATTATGGTTCTGCTGGAAAAATGGACACAAATGATAGTTTGAGATTGGCTAGTCTGTGGCATTCTATGCACGCTATCTCTCAGCAGTTGTCCCCGGTTAATGGCTGTGCTGGTATCGAACTCCTTCAAGCTGATACGTTTGATCTCCATTGCTTCCAATCTCTTACCGGTAATTCTTACATCTCCACCATTTTGTCTTTATCTGATTTATTTTTGAGAAGCATCTTTTTCTTTTTGAGATTTTTATCAGCTTTAGTTTTTGACATCTTTTATCATGTATGTTGTGTTGTAAATTGTAGTTATAAATGTTTTATACCTATTAGCTTGAATGGAACTAAAGCTTACTCAGTAGCAACAAGGTTACAAACTTAAATCTTAAATCTTTGGCCCAAAAGTTATAAGAATTTAGTCCATATGCTGGGAAGGGGGAAAATGTAACCTAAATGGTACTAGGCTCAATCAAGTAGCTCAATATGAATAATGATTTCCTGCTGAAGTTGTTCTGTATGCGACTTCGATGTCAGGAAATATGGTGCAGTATCTTTAAGTGGCTCATGCATCTCTTCTCCATTTCAGTTGTTTTTATTTAAATCGTGCAACAAAGAAACTTCCAGTTCTCTATTCAGAAAAGCTAGAAATATGGTTTAAGAGACTAGGGGATGAAAATCAATTAGAATCTAAACCTTTCTGTCAGACTGGGTATGGAGGGCTTAGATCATCTCGGCACTGATGTGATGTGCGCTAACAATCTTCGTGTAATCGATCAGGATCTCATAACAGCTTCTTGAGATTTTATGCACCAGTGTGGCAACTTCAAGACATTTGAGATTAAATGATAGATGAAACTAAACTTGGCAAAAACATTAAAAGGACTTATTAAAGAGAATCTACACAGTCTCTTGTCGCACAAAACAGCTCCCATGTATATACGGGAAACATCATGTAAGTTTTGGACAAAAGAAACTTCTAAAGGCATGTGGTGATCCCCGAATATTTGGCATAACTTAGTCAGAAAGAATTTGTGTTCTTTTATTTGTTCCAGTGTGCATTTGAATGGTGGCCCTATATGATTGCCTATTCCTATGTATATCAGTGTTTATACTGAATTGTTCTTCAAATCTAAGTACACTCATGGATATTTAAGAATCTAACTTGGGTAATTATTTCTATTTCCTCTGGAGCTTTGTTAAAGGATGCTGACTTCTAGTTTCTATCTTGATACTACTGGTTAAGAGATTTGCTGAATCTGTTAAAGTTCTTTCTACATACACAAGACCAATGGGCATCACAAGTGAAAGGGCATACAAAATACAGGCTAATAATAACGATGAAAAAAATATAGGCTAATAGTATTCTTCTTTTTTGATTGGTTATAGCCTATAAGTTATAGGCTAATAATATTCGTTCTATAATGAAAAATAGTGTTGACTAATTAGGCTCAAAGAAGCTGCTTGATCTGTTTTATAATGAGTTGTGGCTTGCACATGATGCCGATTCAATTTTCATAGCCTTGTTGAAGTTGTTTGCTTCAAGGCTAATAGGCCAAAGAATGATCTGTTGAAGTTGGACAGATCAAGAAAAAGAATGAGACTACATTTTCATGAACTCATTCTTTCCATGTTTCCTAGATAGACCACAAGTCCACAACAAATATCCAAAGAAGACAACATAGCTAATATCTTAACTTGTATAGATGATATTCTCCTTGTATTTTTGTGTTGAAACCATACCTCAGAGAAATAAGTTTCTCCCTTGGATAAAACTAAGTTGAAATGAAGTGAAATATTTGAAAACAGGAAAACATATTTGGTAAAGATGGCAGCTGTTTGCTCATTTTTTAAGAAACAATGGAAGCTGTTCACTTGTGTAATAAGTCAACGGAATGATGGAAGACTAATCAATAATGCATGGGACGCCACTTGGTAAATATTTGACAGACTGGTCGAATGTTTTAGTGCCTCTGAGTTGAGAGTGCCATGGAACATTTAACTTGATATTCAATCTTACATCTTATTTCTTAATCTTTTTCCCTTCAGTCACTGCTGTCAATTCAGGTTACACTCCAACCAGCTAAAGGATTTGATTGATTTACTTAACAGGAACAAAATTCTTTGTGGTCTGTGAGCCTGGAGCTCTACATATGGAGTCCCTCTTGAAGTATATCTATGAATTATACACTGATTACGTCTTGAAGAACCCTTTCTATGAAATGGAAATGCCAATTCGGTGTGAGCTCTTTGACATAAATTTATCACAGGCAGTTCAGAAAGATCGTGTTGCTTTGTTAGGGAGATGAGCTTCTCAAGTTCATATGCCATAAGTTGTTGACTGATCTATAATTTGGGAAGTTTCGTTGACAGGTTCGGTTATGCATCTGGAATGTGATTTTTCTTTGTTATTTCGAGATAATGGCTTGTAAGATAAATTTTGAGAACCACCCCAAATAACATTTTTTGTGCACAATCACCAACTTGTCATGGCTCCATATTTCTATGGTATGCCTAGAGGTGAATTTCATCTTACCTCTGTATCCTAATATCTCTATAGTTGGTTCTACTGTTGAAGCTCATTAGCTGGCTGCTGCTGTGGTACAGTAGTTTAAACTCAAAAGGAAAGAAGATTGAAAGACACCATGAGTATGTATAATTTCCATTTTGTGCTGTTCCAACTTCTGTTCACAGACTACATAATTATCACTAAGATTCAAACACACTATATAGGTTGCAAATAATACAGAAACTTTCACTTATTGGACCACCAAACTAAACCTGCCAAAAAAAATAAACAAGGGGCAGTATCCCTCCACAACTAATAACATCAAGAGTTGATCATTGCCAGTCATATATATAGCTAAGCAGCTGATGGGCTAGTAATATATAAAGCACTAATATTCGAATCCGAAAAGGCTGCTTCCCTTAATCTGTTTGCTTCAACTGTAGAACCCTGCGCCTTGTGATCCAGTGTGGTGTCATTATAAATGTCCCACCATTTCGTCACTAGCATTTTGATATCCTCTCGATCCATGTGTTCTTCCTTCCCAGTGTATTTCCACGGCTTAGCCCCTGGAGAACAGTAGTGAACTGCTTTCGCCTTGTTCACCTCGATTTTCTCTGGGTGGCGCCATAGCATGGCCAGCAACAGATTGTATGTGTAAGGAATTGGCTTGTACTTGTCTTTAAAGTACATGTTCAGAAAGTCCTACAAAAAGGAAACGGTTGGGACTATGTATAGCTGTTGGAAGTGATGAAAAAAAAAACATATCTTGAACCATCAATTTATAGAAGTTGAACTCTATCATGTTTTCGATGTATTAAGTTTACTATAACCAGATAAAACAGGTTGTTTACTCTGTTCTTCAAGTTACCAGATCTTTTTTGTTAACAAGATTTAATCCGTATAGAAACATAACTTCATATATACCTGTTCAGCAAATTGGGTGGGTGGGGTAACTTTGAGTGTGTTCAAGAGACGAACATAGATGGAGAGATTTGGCTGAAAGACAAACATGCCTGCGTTGAAGTAAACAGACGGCCTTGGCCCCATCTCTTTGGGCCACGGCAGAACCTCAGCACATGGCTCCCCATACATATCGCATATGCAGTCCGCCACCGCATATAAATACTTATCAGGCAGCTCGAATAGATGGTCTATGTTCTCGAAAACTTGCATATCTCCATCCAAGTACACCATCTTACTGTACTCCACAAACTGCAATTCAATACCAAAAAACGATCAATCATCGATAAAAAAAACATTGCAATTATAGTAATTTATTACTTTACCTGCCAAATCCGAAGTTTGGAGTAGTTGAGCACGTAATAAGATCGTGCATACTTATCGGACGATTGCAATGAAGGAGCTAGTGGCTCTATCTCCTTCACTATGCAACCGTGCCTGGTCAATATGATCCTGTGTTCCTCAGGCACATCGGGTAAAATTGCCACAACCAAAGGATACATAGATTTAGCTTTTATCAATCCCTTTGCTAAACCAACCACACCTTTCACATAATCACCATTACCTGCTAAGAAAGTCACATAAGCCCTCCCTAATTCTATATCCGTTGCCTTTTTTGTTCCACTTTCAAGTTCTGGAGCCATTTTATATATCTTTTTGTTTTTGTAATAACAAAATGGTTAATTTGTGTCAACATATATATAGTATATAGTAGTAGTACATGCATGGAACGCGGTTGCATGGACAGTGAGTGAGATACTGTCATACGGAAATGTTTCACCGACCAAAAAACTTGTAACAGATAGCGTTGAGAGTTAACTAATAGTAATATTGTGATGGTAGACAGACACGTGTCGGAGAGCGATGCCACATGCTATGCTACGTGTATTTCTTTGTACATTGACACATGTCATTAATATAAATGGTATTACTACAATTTGTTTTTTCAACTAATAACTACATTAAGGTTTTGTAGTTATGTGTTGTTCTACTTAGTTCCGATCCTATAATAACTATATTTGTCGTGAGTGGTTAATTAAGATTAGACGGTGCACGCAGCCGATATCGAGTTCGTTGAATATATATAGAGAAAACAGTCTATAAACAACGTAGCTGATAGTAAACTCATTATAATTAGAAATAATAATAATTTTATATTATATACTGAAAAAACAAGTGTTTTTTTTTCCGATGAGACAAAGAGAAAGAGCTCATGATACAAATAAGTTGTGTCCAACCTATATAGTATTGATCAGCTGCATGTCGAAAGAAATACACGTTTGGAATTGATATTCTTTTTGAAAGGATATAGTAACTCATAAAAGTAGCGTATATATTGATAATCGGCTGTAGATTATGATTTTAGGAATTCGGCTTCTTCTCATTTTTCCTTCGATCGGGTGATCATGCATTATATTTTATTTTAATACTGATAATTCAAATTTAATAAATTACAATAAGGTTTTAATCATGATAACAAAATAAAATATTTTATCATCATCTTTTTCTATTGCTTCGTTTTTAGAATCATAATGTAAAAGTAGTAAATAACTCGTTGATTAGATGTTCATAATTTATATCAACCTTTGATCAAACAAATTAAATTGCGAAAAAGCTTTGACAAGCATAACATCATTTTGAATTTAAAATTCAATAACAATAATAGCTCAACGCTTATCGTAATATTGTGAAGGATCTACAATTTTTAAAATTTTCATCAAATAATACGTAGAAATACACACAATGTTAACTATTAAATTAAGACAAAATATGGATAGTTTTATAAATACAATTATGATTTGCTAAAGAAATGTCAAAAACATCACACTGATGCTTAATGAGATGGAATCGACTCCTAATAAGATTTGAGCAACCCTCCCCTTTGAGCTAACTTTTGAATGATTTAACTTTTAAACCTAATTTAACATCCCTAAAGTGCAAACTTTTGATAAACTTACAGGATCAAAACTGTTGTATTGATACATAAGGGATTATTTTGATATATTAACAAACAATAAAGGACCCTTTTTGTCATTTTCTTAATTTTTCCTTTTCCCTATTAAACCTTTTAATTTTTTATTTAATTGATAGATATAGGAAGAGAAAGAGAGAGAGAAGAGAGGTGAATTGGTTCCAACTCCATTTCAGAGTAAAGAAAGCAACGTTATGTTGCAATGCATTTTTCTTCTCTCCGATTCTGGGTATCCTTCCCTCCTTCTTCTTCTTCTTAATTTCCGTCAAATTCATATTCATCGTACTCGATAAAGGGGTTCTTTGCCTTTTAATTTGTATTTATTGGGATATTGAATCACTTGGTATTTGATTTGAAGTTTGTTACTAAAGATCTGTGTAATTCAATGTCTCTGTAGGGAGGTAATGCTGGAAAAACAGCTTACTGGACACTGGGTTGATAGGGCAATATGTTCCTGGTTTTGGGATCAGTCAATTGCTCAAGGTGATTCCTTCAAGGTAGGGGCATAAGAGTAATTTGTTCCAATGTTATAGTTAAAGTTGCTAAAAACTCACTGTATAGAGAAATCAAGATCCTTGATCTTGAATTTACATATAATTGTTTTGTGGCTTGACCAAGTTTGAAACTTTTGTTCTGTTTATCTTGAAAAAAGTTTTGGCTTGTTGCAGCATATACCGGTGATTGCTTCACCAACGCATTACCTTTTCCAAGTTAATCGTGAAGGAGTTACCTTCTTGGCTTGCACCCAAGTAGAAATGCCACCTTTAATGGCAATTGAGGTAATACACTTGGTTATTTTATGTTGTTGCTGCTGGATTGATTTCTTCTTAAATAAGATTATGACACAAGATGGGTTTAATGGAATTGTCTTGGAACTATTAAACACCTGACCAGAATATGTTAAGAGAGGTTAGTAGCATGGTGGTTGGATGGCTAAATGGTGATGCCTCTTGTAATTCTTATCAGTTTAAAATTTGAACATCCTAGCATACCGTGACAGTTAAATTGCTTTCAATCTGAACTGAAAGTTTTCTATTTGATTAGTATGTCCAGAGAATATTGAAGGATTTGAGACAAAAACATGGCATTTTTGGCCCTAGGGCTTTGGTTCAGTTAGAAGGATGCAACTTGGATGTGAGTTTGAACCGAGCCACTGAATATGAGCATGGTATGTCGGTCATCAAAAAAATAGGAGCATGGTATGTAAGTGGAAGTAGAATAGTATGGCAGATACTCCCCCAGTTTTGACCTGTGAGCTAACCGGAATTGGACCAGCTAACTCACAGGGGATTTTTGGGTTATCAGAAGAGAAGGACCCTTTAGTGTGCGACTCTCAAGCTAATTTACACTAGTATATTATAGTAATTGGTTATCGAAAGGCAAACAAATTATGGTAGAGCCCCTTCATCCACAATTAATAAATGTATGTTAGACGTGTTTGTCGTAGTAGAGTTCAATACAACCGTATATTTGCTGTCGCCATAGTAGGTATGCCCTTTGTATTTGATAAAATCTGGCATCATAGAGATTCTTGTTTTCTAAGTTTTTCTTTTGATAAGTTATTTCGTCCATTCCTCTGCCATGTTTTGTCGGCTTTGTGGGCTTTTCTTCTTGGTTAAATGGATTAGATCTGTAAGAGTCCAGTCATACTATTGGAAGTCCTTGCACCTGGCAGTTATGATATTTTTATTTTTTTTGATGACAAGAAAAACCCGCAGCCGCTATCCTTTGGGTGCGCACAGGGTAAAACCCCCGCTCCTATGCAATAGCTCGCAAACCACATAGGAGAGGTAACCCGCACTAGGCAAGCCCGGTGCGACAAGCTTGACCCCGAAGGCAAACCCCTTGCTTTCGCTGGCAAGGGGTTTCGA